GTGAAAATTAAAGTATTCTGAATAAAGAAATCAAAGAGGACTTCAGAAAATGGAAAGATATCCCTTGTTCATATAGGAAGAACAAATATTTTGAAAATGGTCATTCTCCCAAAATTGTTGTGCAGATTTAATGCAATTCCAATCAAAATACTATTAGCATACCTCACAAATCTAGAGAAATCATCCCTAAAATTCGTCTGGAACCAGAAGAGACCTAGAGTAGCAAAGGAAATTCTGGGCAACAAAGGCAAGGCAGGAGGCATCACAATCCCTGACTTGAAAGCTACTGTGATAAAATCAGCATGGTACTGGAATAAAAACAGACTGAAGATCAATAGAATAGATTAGAAGACACTACCACAACTACAAACACACTCAGCCACCTTATCTTTGACAAAGGAGCCAAACACGTCCACTGGAAGGAAGATAGCCTCTTTTAATAAGTGACTTTCAGCATCCTGAAAACTAAAACTCGACCCATTTCTATCATCATGCACTCAGCAAAAGTCAAAATGGATCAAAGGTCTAAATGTTAAAACAGAAACACCAAATCTACTGGAAGACAAGGTAGGTAGAAATCTTGATGACATAGGAGTGGGCAGAGAATTCATGAAAAAAAAAATTAAACTGCACAGGAAATACTTCCCAGAATCAACAACTAGGATCTCATCTTATTAAAAAGTTTTTGAATGTCAAAAAAAAAAATCTCCAATAGAATGAAAAGACAACCCATGAATTGGGAAAAACCCTTAGTCAACTGTCCCTCAGACAAAGGACTTCTATCTAGAACATATACAAGAATTTTAAAAAATCAGGCCCTCAGAATTCAAAGACCCAATCCAAAAATGGGCATCTGAGATGAGTACCCACTTCTCAGCTAAAGAAATATAAATGGCAAATAAATATATGAAAAAGGTTCAACATTATGTCATTCAAAAAATAAAAATTGAAACAACACTGAGATTCCATCTCACTCTAGAACGAATGGTCAGGATCAACAAAATCACCAATAACAAATGCTGGCAGGGCAGTGGGGAAAAGGAACTCTTCTGCATTTTGGTGGGAGTGCAGACTGGTACAAACACTGTGGAAATCAGTGTGGAGATTCCTTAAAAAGCTGGGATTGGAGGTTTCATTTGACCCAGCTATCCCACTTCTGGGCATATTCCCAGAAGAACTGAAAACATTATCCTACAGTAATATATGTGCATCCATGTTTATAGCAGCACGGTTTGTAATAGCCAAATCTTTTAAACAACTCAAATGCCCATTAACTGAGGAACAGACAAAACAGATGTGGTATTTTTACATGATGGAGTACTACTCAGCTACAAAGAAGGATCACACTGAAGCTTTTATAGGTAAATGAATGCAAGTTGAGACCATACTCATAAGTGAAATAAACTCACATGTGTAAATACCATATTGTCTCCTTGGTGTGAAAAACTGAAAGAGTAAATAAGATCCAAAATCGTCAATAAATATTGTGAAAGGGTAAGAAACTACTCAAAGGGGAAAAATAATTAGGATAGGGAAAAGGAGAAAATAAAAAGATATAAATTTGTATATATACACTTACGATAGCTAAGATGATCATACAACTAATTCTATTAGCTCTTGAAACAGCACAGTTAACATTCATAGGATTAGATCAATTTTACAGTCTCTATCTGGTAACCTGAGGAACTCTTTTGAAGATAATTATGCAAATAATAACCTCTGTTAAGTTTTTTACCACCTTATTTTGAAAGTCTCTATTGTTATTTTTTGGGGGGTTTTAAAAATCATTCTTTGTCTCTTTTGTTTCTTGTTTCTCTTTTATTTATTTATTTTTTTGTTTTTCCCTCTTTAAAAAAAAAACAATACAAAAACTCTACAAGTTTGAGAATTTCAGGATGAGAAAAATTGACCAGATCACTTAGAAGTTTCAGTGGAAATTCTGGCCCTTTTAATCAAAATGAGTATTTTTAACTTCACTGATGTTACATTGGGGCACAAGATCAGTTTATCCAAGTTAAAACTAGCCATGATTAAATACTCACTTTTTAATATTAATGGTTATAAGATTTAATTCTCAAACACTGTCTTGATTGGTCACTGAGAACAAGGCAAAGTTGCAGAAAATAAATTGGTAACCTAGGAACCTGCCAGGATTTTTTTCTCACAAGAGCAGCTCTCTTATAATATATTGAGCAAAGCTTTAAGTGATCCGTTTATGTAAGCCAGAAGATAATCATCCCTTGCTCAGTAGCTCCTTAAAATGTCCCTTGGGTATTTCATGAATGTGGATTTCTGTAATGAAAACTGTAATTTCCTGAAGGTCTGATACAGCATTACCAGACACTGCACTGCTCAAAAGCCTTGGGATGATAGATTTATCATCAAGACAAAGCAATGTTTGCCTACTGTTAAACCACAGTTACCAAAACTCTCCACAATTCCTGGCCCATCCCGTGTTCATAGGCAAACTTCCCAACTACGAACACGGATTCCATCCAGTTTCTTGCATCCCATAATTAAGAGCAGTTAAAGACAAGATGTGAGGGGCCCAGATCACTTAGAGATTACTGACTGAGACTCCTAAAAGAGAGGGGCTGTTTTCCTAAATCTTCCCTTTGAAGGAGTAGAAACAAAGTGATTTTCATGGCATTAGCCAACACCAGGGGGCAGGAGAGAAAGTGCATGAATGGAAATAAATTTAATCTCAGGACACTGTGAGAAAATGGTGTAAATGACAATCCTTGGCACAGAGCATGTAGACGGTGTGTGTTACTTGAAAGTTTTAAAATCCTTTAAATACTATTTAATAAAATCTTCCATGTTCATTGCAAAACTATTTAAAAATACAGAGAAACAAAGTAGTGAAACCATTTTTATTACCTCTAATTTCATCATCTTTAAGTAACCACTTAATATTTTTGTCAAACATTTGTTAAATAGTTCACCATATTCTATTTTCTTTGCATGCACATTTCTCCAAATAGGACCACTACAAATTATTACTATTGTCATTGTTGAGATGAGGTCTTGCTATGTTGCCTGTTGTCCCACTAGTTAGACCAGGTGACCCTCCCATCTAGCCTCCTGAACAGCTAGGACCTCAGGCATACACCACTGTGCCCAGTCACAGTAATCTTATCATTTCATAGTGCTTCAGAGCTTTAACTGGTAATATGTACTTTTTGGCTCAAACTATAATTATGGGTGAAGGAAAAGATTCTACTCAGGGTTCTAGTTTTGGCTCTGATCTAACCAGCCTCAGGTAAGCAGCTCAAATTCTTTAAATTTTAAATTCCTCAGCTGTGAAGAATTTATCATTTGATGCCAATGATACCATAGGCACTTCCCATCCCTATCATTCTGATAGTTGATAAGTAATTAAAGGAAGACAGTAATGTGCAGTGGTTATTGCCCTGGTATCAGCAGGGTTCTAATCTCAGCTCTACCTACAGGCTGAGGTCCTGCACAAATTTGATTGCACAGTGCCTCAGTTTATCTTTCTGTAAGATGTTTGATGATAAGGGATGGCACCTGGGATTACTGAGCATTAAAAAAGTACCACATATAAAGAATTTAGATTCATGTTTGGTGCATGATAAAGGTCGATAGGCAACCACTTATCAATATTCTGCTCAGACCCCAGATTTCTTGAGGTGACAGAGTGCAAAATACTGAGAAACTGAGCGCTGCATTGAGGATGCACACGGGTTGACTACATGAAATGGGTATTCTGTAAGTGTGCTCATCTGTTCAATTTTATTTAATCCTCAGAACAAATTTACTCTCTCTGTTTTACACATCAAGAGACTGAGGTGGAAACTTGCCTAGGTTCAGTAATAGTGGTAACCCCAAAGACTAGTAAGTTCTGCCTGCGTTGAAGGGCTATGATACGTGCTATTAGCTGAGTGTTTCACTTCAAAAGTAAAGTACAAGCGTGAAGTATCTTTCTCAGTGATATTTAGCATGAATTTCTTCTAACTTTAATAATTCTATTTTAACAAATCCACTTTGCACTTATTTAAAAGACCCAGGCATTTTTGCACATTTTAACTGACTGCTAGATACCCAAGTTAGAGCAGAACTAGAACATAGGTTTTATAAAAATAACTCTTACTCGACTTAGAAACTTAATTTTATGGTTACAACTGATGGCCTAAAAATTCCCCAAACTAAACAAAATAAGGAAACCTTAGTGAAAGTAACGGCTCATGAAAAGCAGTATGATTTTTTTTTAAAAAAAACCTTGTGATTTCTATATATTACCAAAGGATGTCAGAACAATGGATTCAGGTTGAATACTGGCTCTAAATGGCCCGTGAGTAAAACTGGTCATTTCATTTCTGGTTATGGCTTTTTTTTCCAAAGAGAAAACTGAAGAACAGACCAAAACACAAAGTTCCATTTAATTAATCACCACCTTTTTGTTCTGTGGTGCTCACATGCTTTCCTAAAGTTTGTTAGACAAGCTGGTAGCCCTTTCCTGTCGTTTGGTGCATCTGTGGATTCATTTTTAATCAACTGCAATAACATCCCCAAACAAAACAAAACCCTCAAACAAAAGTGCAATCAGCTTCTGATTGCACAGGCCAGTGTGCGCAGACGCATAGATTCATGAACAATATAAACATTTCCAATAATATATGCATTTGGATCGAACCACAGCTCTCCGTGCTCATATTCAGCTGTGTGCAGACCCACATATTTCCGAGTAACAGACACCCCAATTCCAGAGAAGCTGGCGCCGGCCTGGGTGAAGCTTGCTACATTTTCTCTCGGCGCGAGCATTACGTGCCTGTCGTCCCGCGCCAGGGTTCCAGCTGGCGAGGGGTGGGGGTGTCCTCCGCGCCCCACCCTAAGGATCCAGCATGCTCTCCGTACACCCAGCGGTGCTCGGAGAGCACGTTCTGGCGCTGAGGGCTAGTGCTGCAGTTGGGAGCTGATTGGTCGCGCCATCCGGCCCGCAGCCCGGGGATTGGCCCAAGGGCTCAGTCCACGTGGTTCAGCGCTGATAAGCTGCCTTTCTGGCTCAGCCTGCCAGCCAGCCCGAGCGGCCACGGAAGGGGGTGCAGCGGGGAGCAGAGGGCTGCGGACTTGCGCAAGCAGCGGGGTGCCGGCTCTCACGTCAGAGGCTACCTCTGTGCCTAATGAGTTGCACCAGGTAGGTTCACTGCAACTTCGCGCCGGGACAGATGGAAATGTGCAGCTACTGGGAAGTTGAGGGGCGTTTTCCTGTCGTGTCTGCAAGAAATCCCAGGGCAGGGCATTGCTTGCATCCTGCACCTTGGAGGCCTATATGGATTTTTTTTTTTTTTAATTTTTTTTTACTGTGTTTCTTAGGGAGAATTGTTTTGGTAATCAGCATCCTAGATCAGAAACATGAGTCAGCTTTAGTTCAGATTCTCTCATTGATGGGACTGACATCTTTGAGTCCTACAAAGTGTCCCAAGTACTCAGGCAGCTTACCTTGTGACAGCACTGTGACGTTGTTGGGTAGTTTAGCCTGGAGGCAAAAATTAGAGGGTGAGATTTGCATTCCTTCTTTCTCCACTCTGCATTCATTTGTTCTCCTCCACTCTCCATGGTTTGTCAGAGCAGTCTCAGAATTTGAACACAAAGACAGGCATGGTGGCTCACGCCTGTAGTCTCAACACTCAGAAGGCTGAGGCAGGAAGATTGCTACAAGTTCAAGGCCGGCTGGGGATACATACTGAGTTCAAGGCCAGCCTGACTGCATAGCAAAACCTAGTCTCAAAAAAAAAAAAAAAAAATTGAATACATTATTTCTAACTTGTGGCCAGCCCTTAACATTCCAGGGAAATCGCTCAATGCTAAAATTGTGCTTCTGCACAAAACAAAAATAAATATCTCCCATAAATGACTTTAAGTAGCTTCTTTAGGCTTAACAGGCTTCTCTAAAAACCCTGCCTATTAACTATTATTAGATCCACAAATATAGGTTTATCTTTCATTTGTTTGCTGTAAGTTTGTAGATGTCTCAGGAAAGTCCTTGGACTAAAAAGTTCTGCAAATGTCCTTTATTATCCACCTTGTGAAAATGACTGCTTGCCTCTGTGCTTAGAACTGCTGTGATGGGCATTAGTAAAGCCATACTGAGAAGCTCCATGTACAGTATTCACACATCTTCTATCTGGAATGCAAAGATAGATGAGGGGGAAAAAATCCCAATTCCATGAGATTGGCAACATACATTGAGGGCTAAATGCCAGAAAAAACCCTTCTTGATGGGTGCTTCTTGGTTTAATATTGCTGAGCATAGTTGTGTTTAAATTTTAAATAGCTTTCTTGTCTATTTATAAATGTCCCTTGCTCAAACATTGGAAAATTCCAAAAAAGTACAAAGACAATACATCAGCAATAATCCTATCACCCAGAGATAAATGTTAACTTTAGTTGTATTTTTCAGAAAGTTTTCAATATTTATAAATTCATATATCTAATACATAGTTCCAAGTAACTAGTGTCTTTTAAAATAAATTTTACTGTGCCTAAGCTATACAATATAAGATTATATCTAAAGTAAGATAGGTATTATAATGTAATAAATGAACACATCTGTCATCTCAAATAGGCAATCAGTTTTTCCATCTAAGTGTGGACTTGCCATGGACATCTTTCTACATGAAATATAGACTAGGCAAACTTCTTTAAATGCATGAAAGTGTTGACTTGTATTTCAGCTGGATATCTATGAAAATGAGGACAAGCATGGTAGTCAATGCGTAAAGATAATTCTGATTTAGACTTTTAGCTTTTCATTCTCAGAACTTTTTCATGAAAAATTTTAATGCTTTTTTTCTTTTCAAGTGGATTATCCTTTTAGATCAATGTAATCAAGTTAACAGCAAAATAAGCAATTACAGGTAGAGAGAGGATCTGAAACTGGCTCCCAAAGTATTTGTCTGGTCATTAGAATCTTTGGGGAAGCTTTAGAATATAGCTACCACCTTGATTCCACCCTCAGGAGGTCTGCAATAACCTGTAAGCCACAGAACTGATTGTGAATCAATTTTTCTGTCTGTCTGTTTTATCTATCTTGTCTGTCTTTCGTTAAGAAAGAAACTAACTCCTTGGGCTATGGTGATCAGACAGAGTTGAGAACCACTGATCCAGAATAGAGCAGATTAAGATATCATTAAATACTATCCTTTTATTTTTCAAACAGGGAAACCGAACGCTTCTCTAAGTGTCTGCCAGCCAAGGGCAGAGGTGGACACTGAATGCAGATCTAATCACCTGATACCATTCGTTTTTTACTGTGTATGACAGCATTTCCGTGATACTGCCCTGCTTGTAATTCCACCTGTACAAAATTTGTGCAGGTGTACTGGGGAGGTGGAGAACATGTCAGATATAGGTGATAACCTTTCTTCCTTTTGTGTTCCAGAATGATCCAGGTTTTGGATGCACATCCTTTGACAAGCTCAGTCATGCCAGTGGATGTGGCCATGAGGCTTTGCTTGGCTCATTCACCACCTCTGAAGAATTTCCTGCGTCCTTACAATGACTTTCAACGAAGAAATTTTGTGAATAAATTAAAACCCCTGAAACCATGTCTCAACCTCAAACAGGAAGACAAATCACAGAATGACTGGAAGCACTCACACAACCAATCCAAGAAGCGGGTGGTCTTTGCTGACTCCAAGGGCCTGTCTCTGACTGCTATCCATGTCTTCTCTGACCTCCCAGAAGAAACTACATGGGATCTGCAGTTTGAGCTCTTGGATCTTAATGATATCTCCTCTGGCTTAAAACTCCATGAGGAGAAAAACTTGATCCTAGATTTTCCTCAGCCTGCAACTGATTACTTAAATTTCCGGAACAATTTTCAAAAGAACTTTGTCTGCTTGGAGAACTGCACTTTGCAAGAGCGAACAGTGACTGGGACTGTCAAAGTGAAAAACATGAGTTTTGAGAAAAAGGTTCAGGTCCGTATCACCTTTGACAGTTGGAAAAGCTACACAGATGTGGACTGTGTCTACATGAAGAATGTGTACGGCGGCTCCGATAGTGATACCTTCTCATTTACCATTGACTTACCCCCTGTCATTCCAACTGAGGAGAAAATTGAGTTCTGCATTTCTTATCATGCGAATGGGAAGGTCTTCTGGGACAATAATGAGGGTCAGAATTACAGAATTGTCCACGTACAGTGGAAGCCTGATGGGGTGCAGGCACACATGGCACCCCAAGACTGTGCATTCCACCAGGTGCCCCCTAAGACTGAGTTAGAGTCAACAGTCTTTGGCAGTCCAAGAATGGCTAGTGGGCTCTTTCCAGAATGGCAGAGTTGGGGGAGAATGGAGAACTTGGCCTCTTATCGGTGAATTAAGCAATCTAGTGTCTGACCTGTCATAGTCTCTGTGCAATTCTAGGTCAGTGTTGCTCAATATTAGGAAGTTTTTGCTACTTTGGTCCATTAGTAGGTTTAGGTTTGAGCTTTTGAGGCCTGGCTACAGGGGATATAGACACTTGAGAATTCAGCACTTGCGTCTGATATGGCTGATGCTATCCAGTTTTGTTTTGGAGAATCAAGTAACAGCCTAGGAACTATTTTTAGAAAAATAATGCTTTTTCGGTGCCTTTCCTCCTTCCCTTTCAATTCACTAGCTTTCACATTGGGCAAGAAGAAGCTGAGGGAGGAGAACTGATGGTGATGGGAAGCTGAATTAAGGGTATGAGAAATGTGTGGGAGGAGTACTGTATGTGAAGGGCTCTGAGACTCAACTCAGAGGAGGAGAGGAAGGTCTGATACTTTTGTTGGTAAGAACATGTAAGGTTGTCTTGTGTATTAAAGTTGGTTTTATGGTTCTCTCCTGGAAAAATAACTCAGGAGGAGAGATCCACTTTATATATTCTTGTGGAGACAAGATAAATAAAATTCCAGGGTTTTGGAAGGTATTGGGGGAAGATGATCTGTAATGCTAGAGAATTAAGATCTTAAGTGAAGCCCTTATACTTAAGCATAGTCTATCAAAATCATGATTTGGGGAAAGCTTAAGCAAACATGCTGCTGCAGTCATGATGTGATAAATGACTTTTGATCAAGATTGGGTATTTGGAACAGAGTGCTAACCAATAAAAACCGTGCTGTCATCAATGATTGATAACATGTGGGAGCTCAAGGTGTCGGCAAAGAGCTCTTTGCAAGTACCTTGATTAAACCAGAGTACTCTGGTCACTTAACCCAAACATCAGAATGGTCATCTGGTAACTCATGAGTGTTTGGCCTCATAAGGAGGTCATTCCTCCTACAGTTCTGCTGGGCCTTCGAGAGTGCTGTCGGTGTACATAGCCTCATCCTTCATATTGAAGGCGACTCATTTTTCTGCCACACTTTTTCAATGTGATATTTGGAGTGAGGACTGACACTAGGGTTCTCAGTACAAGAATCTGGTATCTTGCATGTAGAAGTAGCCGTCTAACTCTTGCTTGTTTTTATCTTGCTGTTTTAATTTCCTTTGAAGTCAAAATGCTTTTTTTTTTTTTTAAGAAAGTGGATATGAATTGTTTTGGCTATCAATTGTTTTTGTGTGTGTTTAAGTTTATTCTATAAGACCTTAATGGTGGAGTTCCAAAATATTTGCTTCTACAGAGCACATCCATTGAGAAGTGTTAAGAGAATATGTGATCTTCCATGCTGGGAAAATACTATTGGAATAACTCTGCTATGACAGTTTTTGAGGTTTGACTAGCATCCATAATTTTTCTACTGTAAATTCATTCTCTTCTAGCTATCCTTTATGAGCTTCTCACCTTAAGAATAAATGTGTCTGATAATGAGATTTGAGAGTGCATTCTTAAAGCCATAATTAGTTAAATAAAAAACTCAACTAACATTCTTCTGTTTTGTTTAGGACTAACCAAGTAGAGATGTTTGGACCATAAAGTGGATTTGCCTGAGTATTCACATGGCCCCAGCCTCATTAGTGACCACATTTCCTACCTCCTGACCCCTGGGGCTGGGACTTTAGCTACTGTGACTGTTCCCTTAAACCCATCTGTGGTCACTACTTACCACACATGTTCTTTGCTGGGTTGGTGTTATCTTGGAGGACATATTAGCTTTAAAATGGAAGAGAAGATAGTGTGAAAGGGCTGGAGTGGCTCCTACTTCTTGAACTCCAGCAATCTCCTGCGGGGCCAATCTGAGAGCTGCGCACAGGGGCCTGCAGAGGCCCAGCAGGTGCTCTCTTGGACTGAAGAGAGCAGCACGCTTCTGTGGAGTGAAAGACAGCAGGTCCGAGTAGTAAAGGTGTTGCTCCAGTTCTGCCTCAACTTCAGGGAGGGCTTCTGCAGAGTGTATTTTAACTGAAAGGGGAATTAATGACCAACCTGAAAAGACTTGTTTATGAAGAATAAACTTTTGTCATATAATAACCTCTATACCAGAAGTTATAAACTACCAGCCTGAGGGTTGTATATAAAATACATGGCTGTATTTTATTTAACACATAGAACATTTTAAATGGAATTCATCATCCTGATAGAATAATCATGAGACTATATAAAAATGTGGATTTTATTTTTTCCTCTAAAAATTTAAGGCCACCAGTGTGTGGACCTGAGTAGCAGCCCACTGCCCTAGCTGAGGCCTGTTGCTTTGTGCTGGCTGCAGTCCCCACTCCTGGCTGTTTTCTCTTACACTGTCATTTGGCCTTGATAAGCGCTAGAGTTCATGACTTGTATTTTCTCTGTTTTGAGTCTCTAGTCATGCTGATAGGTAGGTGAAGAACACCTGTCCCCAAGAGATGGAGCAAACTTAAATTGAGATTTGACAGGAATATTGAAAATTGTGGGGCACAAATGCCTAACCTTATAAAAACAAATAAACAACAATAATAACAAAAAACTAAGATACAAAGACAGTGACTAGTCCAAGGTCTCATGCCAGATAGAGTTGGTTGATCAGTGGGTTTGGATCTGGTGTTCTTTCTTGGGCTTCGTACTTCTTCCATGAAGTCTTCCACAGAGAGTGTCCTTCTGTAGTGAACGGGAAGACACTGCCAGGCAGGTATGAGTCTGACTTGCTTTTCCTGGCTGCCTGTGCCAGCCGGACCCGATACTGGTGCATCTCTGTGCTGCTCCTAAAGAGGACTCAGTCAAGTTCAGGATGTTCCTGGGCCTTTGCAATCGAACAGTTACGTTCCACATCTTGACGTCTCTCATAATAGGAGAAGCATCTCTGCTTTTAAAATTTAACATGACTTGAATTTTTATTACTGCCCTTCTCCTGTCAAAACAAAAAGCAAAAAACCAAAAACCTGGTGTAATTACTCAAGGAAAGACTGCTTTTTTCCCTGCCTTCTAAATTTAGGCTCACTGATTATGCCCAAGCAAAAAGGCTGGGGAGCCGTAGTGTGTGAGACAACTTTGCGTCTTTCTCACTGGGTGTTACAAAGTTCTGTGCAAGTTGCAGTTATCCTTCAGTCTGCAAAGAGAGGATCTTCTTTAGTTTTCGTGTCTAGGTTCTTTATAATTTTCTAGAGGCTGCTGGGAATTGTGGTCTGTACAAACCCTGTTAGTAGTAGATAGGGATGCCAAACTCAGAGGAGTTCCCTCATGCACTTTTGATGGCTCCTGCCCTCCTGCCCAACCCCTCTCTCAGCCAATGGGTGGACACCTGCCATTGGCTTTGGAGGGTCCCTTTAGCTAGTTGTCCCCAACCTTGGCTGCATAATGGGATCAGCTTGTAAGTTTTAAAATACTGATGCCTTCCTTGCACCTCTTAAGAATGTGACCAATTGTTTTGCACTGCAGCTTAGGTTGGTCAGTTCTACAATCTGTCTAGTTTTTTCAATGTGGAACAAAGTTGAGGGCTTCTGGTTTAAGTTGGGTGAATTATTTACAGTTGCCCTCTTTTAAAGAACAGATGGTTCAGACGATTTTTCCACCTTCTTTTAAAAAGTTACAGATGGTGAAGTGGAGGCCCAAACAGGTTAAAACTTGCTTGAGTGCACAGTAATAGTAAAGGCTATCTTCCGACCCCTTCTTCTAACATCCTAACCATCTCTTCCTGAACAGCCTGAATACAAACTTCATTTTCCTAATCTTTTCTCTCTTTTTGTCTTCTCTGATCATTTGTATATATAGCTAGGAGGATGCCTTTGGGTGCAAGTGACATGATCCCTTGACTCAAGTAGCATAAACAATAAAGAAAATTCGTTATCTCACAATATAAGCCCAAAGGTAGGTTGTTGTCAAAGTTGACTAATTTAGTAGCTTACATTCAGTTTATTTCTATTTTCATTCCACTATCCTCATTACTTTTGCTGTTCTTGTACAAATTTACTTCCTGATTATGGGATGCCACAGTTTCCAGGCATCATGCAATCTGCCCACCAGGAGAAGGAGGCCATCTTTTTTTCTTGTTATTTTTTTTGTATCACAGATTAAACCAGGGCTTTTCAACCTCCCAGTGTGGTGGGATTACAGGCATTTGCTACCACATTCAGCTATGACTCAGCTATGTAACTTTTTTTTTTTTGTCTTTTTGAGACAGTTTCCCTATGCAGTTCAGACTGGTTTGAACTCATTTTGTAGCCCAGGATGGTCTCAAACTTGCAGTGATGCTCCTGCCTCAGCCTCTGTAGTGCTGAGATTATAAGCATGTGTTGCCAGGCCCAGTACAGTTGAATAACTTTTTTAGTGGGTGAATAAACGCTTCCTAGAGGCTCTTTTCACCCTCCACCACAGATTTGTAGACTTCAACCAGAATTAATCCCTGTGCCTGTGGATGAATGAATCAGTCTCTGGCAGGGAAAAAGACTTGGACTCAGGACAGTAAAAAATTGTGCCCTCATATTCCTAACTAATGACCCAGGGTCTGGAAGAGGTATAGCCTGTTGAAATGTAACGGTTTATGGAGGAACCAGATGCTATAATCCTACTCATTTATAATCTTATTCATTGCATCTTAAATGAAATAACTTAAAAAAAACATTTAGTCCATGCCTAATCCCACATGAATTTCTTCTGTATCTAGGAACAAGGCCATAAGTATATTTTATTACGGTAAAAATTGAACAGTATAACCAGGATCCTCATCCAGATGGAAAGCTATTTCAACTCTGCCCTCTAGGAACATTTTATGGATTATTCTGGTCCATTAAGTGCATTATGGATTATTCTGGTCTGATATGTCCAAAGTTACATGCCACACAACATGACTACCTCTTTTAAGCATCATGCCGGAAATCTTAACCAGTAAAGTAAAACAGAAAAGATACAAAAGTTAGATTGGAAGCAAAATAATAAAATTATCATTATTTATAGAGAATATGTTTATCTGTGTGAAAATAAAAAAGAATCTCCCACTAAAATATTAAAATAAACATGAGAATTTAGTAAGACTGTTGGATTTAAGGGTATGTAGCAGGTTACAAAATGGTCCCAATAATTCCCCACTTTCTGAGATGACTTGCAATATTCTTACAATAGTAGCAATAATATAAAATTTCTTGCAGTAATGTAACAATAGCTTCACAATATGGTTATATAGTAAATTATTTAAAAATACATTGAAAAGCATTTAAAGAGACCTATAATGAAAATTCCATATTATGGCTAGGAAGTGTGAATATAGTGAAGAAATTTATTAGTAAGATACGAAGTCAGGGATGAACAATTTCCAGTGGAACAAAATATGAAGGCTAGAAATATGTCTGTACCTGTATGAAGGCATGGCTATGCCAGAGCTGGAAATGATGCTAAATGGGAAGAGAACGAACTTCACAGTTATTGGTCTGGAACAAATAGTTATTCACGTGGGAAAACACGAAAGCAGGCTCTTACCACATGCCTTATGTGAAAGCCAGATCCAAGGAATTAATAAAGATGAAAGGAAAGCTTTTAATACATTAAAAAAAAAAAGGAATGGTAGGCTCTTAGAACCTTGGCACTGGAAAGGTTTTCTAAAATGATGAAACACAAACCATAAGGAAACAATTGATATGTTTAACATATTAAAATTTAGGGGTTTGGGGATGGAGCTCAGTGTCAGAGCACTTGCTTAGCCTGCATGAGGCCCTGGATTTAATCCTGAGTATGGTAAAAAACCTACCAACCAACCAACAAATAAATAAAATACAGATTTTTTAAAAATTCTAAATTCTAATAATATAAAGAAGGCAAAAAGATTAACTACAAACTGGGAGAAGATTACTGACAAAGGATTAGTATCTGGGATATATAAAGAACTTGATTACTTAATAAGAAAAAAATAGGCAAAAAGTCTTAAATAGGCATTTCACAGAGGAGGGAACTTGCATGGCCTATAAATACATGAAAAGATTCTCAGTCTCATTAACAAGCAAGGAAATGCAAATTAAAATTACAATGAGATACTATTTCACATCAACCTGAATGGCAAAAATTAAGGCTGCTGTAAATACCAATTGTTTGTGAGCTTGACAGAGGATCTCATACCCTTCTGGTGAGAGTATAAGCTGTTATGATCCCTTGCAAAACAAGTTGGCTTTGTGAAGTTGAAGATGCCTAGCAATTCCCCTTCTGTTTATATAGCCTACAAAGACACTCTTGCATGTTTATGTTAGAAGATTTGTAAATTTAAAATAGTATCCTTTGCAAAAGTAAAAACTGAAAACCAACACAAATATCCACTAAAGGTAGACTGAATAAATAAATTCTACCATATTATCTCTTTTTTTTATTTAAGGAGAAAAAGAAAAAACAGAAAAAGGGTACAAGTAATATAAAATTTAAAAAATAAACAGTAAGAAATCACTAGTTAATAGATTACATATTCTCATCTTAGAAATAGT